AAGGAAGAGGTGAAGGAGGTGAGAGAGGAGGCGAAGGAGACGAAGGAAGAGGTGAAGGAGGAGGTGGAGGAAGAGGTGGAGGTGGTGAGAGAGGAGGCGAAGGAGATGAAGGAAGAGGTGAAGGAGGTGAAGGAGAAGGTGAAGGAGGTGGAGGAAGAGGTGAAGGAGGTGAGAGAGGAGGTGGAGGAAGAGGTGGAGGAGGAGGTGAAGGAGATGAAGGAAGAGGTGAAGGAGGTGGAGGAGGAAGTGAAGGAGGTGAGAGAGGAGGTAAAGGAGGTGGAGGAGGAGGTGAAGGAGGTGAAGGAGGTGGTGAACATTCTCACATCAACATTCAGTCCTGCAGATCTTTCTCTTTTCTCTGGCGCCCTCTAGTGGAAATATTAACAACGTGCAGCGACATCAGGAAACAAATGAACTTCACAACTCGATCATTTAAAGTTCGTTAAATTCTTCTGTTGTTTTATTGATGCTGGGATTTTATGAGAAGATGTTTGATGTATTTTTTTTATTTCTTGAGTAATTGACTCTTCAGCAGCTTCTGAAAACTTGATGTCTCTGTTCTCACCTGAAGTCGAATCCTCTGAACTCCTGCTGAGATCAAACAATCTGCTGCTGAACTACGTCAAAGTGATAAAAACGAGTTTCTGTTCAATCACTAACATCAACATTCCTCTGTTTGCTATTTAACTTGAGAACTGCTCACATGCGTCATGTCCAGTTTCTAAAAAGTAATCCTCAGTTTCCCGAGAGTCAGAATGAAGAATCTTCAGCCGTGGAAGAATATTAAAAATCACACCTCATGAATTTCAGGAGCTTTCACTTTTTTATTTAAAACCACTCTCATCTTGTTTCCGGCGTCACCGTCCTCAGAACTCAAAGGTTCAGAGTAAGAAGCTTTTCTGAACGAATTCACAGAAAGAAGAGAAGTGAACCGTTATAAACTCAAACCCTGAGGTGATGAGGAGGTCGAGGTCAAATGAGTTGGTGGAGAAACAAAGTGATGAATGAAAGAAGAGTGAATAAAAATTAAATCATTTAAACTGTTTCTGTGTTCATGTAAACGACCCTGTGACTCAAACAGTGAATTATGAATGAAAACTCTCTTTTACCTCGGCTCACCTGGTTTCCTGCCAGCGATCCTGCTTCCTCTCCGCAGCCGATGAGACTTCCTGCTCCAGAGGACGAGACAAGGACGCCGAGCTCCTCGTCTGCCAGAGATTCAGTCGGCCTGGACGAGGCTCGATGAAGACGGATGATCTAATCCTGCGGTGGTGGGGGGGGGAGGTGGGTTGAAAATGGCGGCCTGCGAGGAGGAAGGACTTTGTTCCACGAGTTCATCACAAACTGCACAAGGTTTAAGCTCTGATCTGAAAATCAGATGTTTTATTTTCCTGTTTTATTTCCTGTCTGTTTGACCTCGACTGTGAGTAAGTCAGGACTTATTACAAATAGCTGCTGCTTGTTCTCTAACTCTGCACTTGCACTCAGATATTTTAGATTTCATCACTACACATGGTATATTATTATTATTATTATTATTATTATTATACTGTTTGGGGAATTTCGACAGAACTGTTGCACAATAACAGACGATTAAAAAAGTGAAGAGCTGAAGCTGGAGCGCAAGAAATCTGTCCAAGCAACAGAATAAAGAAGTGCAAGCGCAGAGAGAGGAACAAGAACCACATTCAGCCACAGTTTGTGGATCGATCCAGTTTGTTTCGGATTGAAAACAGCTCCTGCTCGGATTCGTTCTGCTCGCACTCAGATGTTTTCGTTGCTTGGACAGATTTCCTGCGCTCCAGCTTCAGCTCTTCTTCTCCCGCTGCGGAAACAGACGAGGTGCTCTTTAATATCGTGCGCTGATCTCGCTGGAGGCGTCTCGTTGTGGGACTTCAGTGGACACCTGCCGGCCATTAGCAGAAATTACTTCCTGTGGCCGTGACATAAAAGTTTATGAGCATCACCGGCTCCTGTCAGAACAGCTGAGTCACTCCCCTCTGTCACGAACCCACAACACCATCGTCACCTTTTTTTATTTCAAGACGCAGCACGTCACCGTCCAGTCACCTTGGTCTGATCGGCCTGCGGAGCTCTGAGATCAAAATGAACTCTAATGACGTGATCGTTCAGAAGGTTTCAGGACAACGACATGATTTTCACCGTCTCTGTTACAACTCGATGGAATCACTGAACTGAACGACGGTGAGGTTTCGAAGCGAAGATTCTCAAATTTGTGGGTTTTGACGTTTGAATCGTCTGAATCGTGCAGCGACCATGAACTCAACCAGAGAACTCAACCAAGACGGGATTCTTTGTTTGCGGCCGATCGTATGATTTACTGTCGAAGATCAGGACGAAGTCAAACCCTCCTGAAACGAGCAGAAAGAAAGAAAAGATAATCGATGAGAAAACAATAAGATACGATGACGTGAGAATGATATACACGACATTCAGGTACTGCAGTTTACATGAAACTACACCTGAGTGCATTTTTAAATTATCACAGCAATCGTCGACTCCTTTCACACTTTGATTCACTATGATAAGAAAAAAACACGGTTTAGACTCACGTCAGCGTTTTAACTCCGCCGTCACTGGTTTACCTCAGTTCAGACTCTTTCCGACCGGTCGAGCGGACTCAGTGTTTCCATGACAGCGACGCAGCGAACCAGAGCCCCGGTCGTTTTGTTTCCAGGAGCCCGACCTGCAGCTTCAGAGAGGAGAGGAGCAGCAGGACGACGCCGTGAGCACAAAACAAAGAGCAGGGATTCTGTCCGGCTCCGAGCGTGAGATCGATGGTTGTGGCCTTTACTGAGCAGATCACATGAGCTGCTGCTCTCCTCATGTTTGCAGCTTCTCATTTCTAAATGTTTCACTCTTTTTAATTTTACAGTGAAACTTTTATATTTACTATTTAACGTTGAATGTTGTACCTTTAATTTTATTCTCAGTTTATTATATTTTATATAATGAGGCGATTTAACTGGTGTTTGAACTTTTCTTTTTCTTGTCTGGCATCAAGCACCGTGATTTTCTTTTCTTGTCCATTCTAGAGTCTTTAGTGTTTCCTCTGCTAAAGGAGAGAAGTTAGGAAGCACCGAAGCTCCTTTCCTCATCACTGAGAGAATTCAAACAGCTCTTACTGTGGCGGCCTTTTAAATACTTCCTGCATGTGTCACTCAATAAGGAAGCTTCTTCAGCAAAATGGACGATTCAACCAGTTTGATAAGAACGACCCAAAATCACAGAAACCATCTTGGACATGCGTTAACAGGGTTTATGACCTGTACTGGAGCCAGCCACCAGGGGGATCCAGATGTTTGGTGTCTCATCCATCATCTTCATTAGCATCGAGTCGGACGTCGTTAGTTTATAGTTCTGCTTTTAATTTGTTGATGCAGAGAATAAAAATCTGAAAAAGTCAAACTGTGTGTTAACGCACACAAACAGAAACACACACACACACACAGAAACAGTAACACACACACACAAACAGAAACACACACACACACAAACAGCTATAAATAGTTCACTATGTGCTCGTCTTCATTTACATTCTCCCTCTTTTTTCCACTTCCCCCTCTCTCCCCCTCTTGTCTCACCTTCCCTCTCCCATCCAGAATACTAATAAACCTCTCCTCT